GGTGGCCAGTCGACTCATCACCCCAGCAGTCTGATCCCAGCGAGCATGGACCTCGCAGGTGGCAAGCTTCATACTGCGCAGCGAATGTTTGAAACCCGGAATATTTGTTGGAAGAAGACCAGCAGTGAACCCTGCCCTCCCCCTCACTCACAGAAACATCTCATGTGCACCGAACGCACCTGAACAGGAGCACAACTGTTACTTTAAGCGCTGCGAAGATCATGACACACGACTTCATGAGTTCTTAAGAAGTGATGGCCGCGGCCTGCGTAAGCAGATGATCCTCCCAAGTAGTCCTGCAGTCGCATCAGACAGTTGGGACAGTTTGCCGCTGGCGTCTGTCCGACATGCTGCGAGCAGACCCACGTGCTGCACACAGGACACACTCTCCAATGCGACGGCAATAACGGGTGCTGCTGGCGACACACACCACATCGTATTGTTCCATTGAGCTGAACTGCTGAAGGTACTGCGCTGAACTTCAAGCTCGGCAGCCGATGTCTTGTGTGTCCGAAGGCCATGAAGAACAGGCTTGAAAGAGGCGGCGCAGCATCAGCGTGTTCTCCTTCTCGGAGGCGAGCGCGAGCGACACCCACCCCATTCAGCCCAACTGAAAAAACTCGCTGGTCCCACTTCACGTGTAACCTGTTGGTAGCATTGGGAACTGGTGAACGCACGCTTGCCGACAAATGCGGTCTGGCTGGAAAGTCATTCATTCCAATCGACCACGTGACGCTTTCTCGGAAGATGTTGTCGACCCTGCAGTAAGATCGTCTTTGCCCGTTCCATTCCCTAACCCCAACGTATATACCTCGCACGTTTGCTGGCAAGAATACATCAAAGTCAGCGCCACCCATCAAAGGCCTTCTCGAGCGACAACCAAAGAGAAGGTTGCGGAGATGAGGCTGCGGCTGCAAGGGAACAGTGTCCCAGTGCAATCTCACAGTGGCTGGTATTGGCGACAAGAGCATGGACAGCTGCCTTAGGTTGACGCATATTATGCTGGCCTTTGTCAACAGGTCGACGACGGACCTCAACCTTCGTGCTACCTCCAGATTCGGCTGGTCAGCGTTCACCTGCATACCAGTCCAATGCGTCTTGTTACGAGTGGCCAGAAGCATTGTCCGAGATGCCATTGCCAAAGCACGCAGGTAGTGGTAGTCGAAGAAGTATCCGGGCATGCCTCCCAAAACTTCGACCGGAAGCGACAGACATGATGCAACCGCCTGGATTGCACCGCCTAGATAGTCAGTGAACGTGTCAATCGGGAGACTCGGTGATGCACACAGAACTCTGTGCACGGGCACTGGTAGTGGATGCCGCAGTCTCTCCGCGCAGGTGAACCTGGCACAACACGCCAAGGCATGCGGAGCAGGGACAATCCAGAACACGTCTTCATCATCGGAAGACGTATCGACGCAGAAACTGAGTAGGCGTGCTTGCAGGCAGGAGTGCTGCAAGCACCTTCTAGTCAAATCTGCAGGCGCAACAGGACCTTGGTGGAAGGCATTGCGATACCGCATGATGAGGGCGACCACCTCCACAGGCAATGTCTCCGCTGAGCCTGACTGACTGATGGGCATGACTTCGCCCGGACAGCAACGTGTTAGCGGTTGAAGCTGTCTGAATACGGGTAAATTTGCCTGCCACTTGAAGAAACATGAAGCATAACCGCAGATATAGATTGCTAGCTCCGTACAGTTAGTTGTACGCAATGGAGCCAGTTTGCTAATTGCAACGAGCAGCTCTTGCCCGAGAGGCAGGCAGTCTTCTCGGTCATGCCGCCCAGGTAGTCTTGCTCGCGACCCTCTGGAGATGTGTCGCCTGAGGTGTCCACGTAAGATGGAATGGTCTGAGTCATGACCATCAAGCTTTGGCGGATGTCGAACAAATGCTTCTCCCACACCCTTTTTGGAATGGCAGGATCAACAGGCGACAGCATGCCGACCGTGCCATCATAATCCAGCAGCCTCATCATCAGCCGCGCCCAGGCGCCCAGTCGCTTGACCGCACGGTCGACATCTGATATGGAATGCACATGTCGGGCCCCGTGAGCAGACGGACGTAAACCAGAGACCAGAATCTGTGGGTCCACCCACTCCGTCACCTTTTTGGCCCTGCTTTCAAAGCATTCCATGAAATGTCGCCACGTGCGTTGATCGATCTGGGTGTGGAGCGGGTTGGGGAAATGGAGCCATAATCCAGGACAGGTCACCAGCTCCTGAATGTAGGTGAGGGCCACGCTGCGGACATGCTGGATTCTGTGGAAGATAACGTATTGGTCAATATACTGCACCAGCTTTTCGTACGGCTCTCGGGAGTCAGACGCTCGCGTCCTGGGGGAACCACCGGCCTTGTCCTCAGCGATTTCATCATCTGTCCTGTGTCCGGCGCCATGTGCCATAGGCTCTACGACGAAGACAGCCTCATAAAGGCCAAGGTTCACTTCCGCAACATCAACGCATAGGTTGTCTTGCACGCGGTGGCTTGTGGTCATATATGAAGATCCACCATCAAAGACTCGCAGCCCGCAGAAGTGATTCTGTCGATAAAGAACATATCTTCCCGGGCTCAGCGCTGTGTCAAGTTCAGGGATGCGGCGGATGGTGTGCCTCGGATTGCATGAGCCCACATCATGTGACGGTTACATTAAAAGCATTCAGCTTTCTCCCAGTTACTTTTCATCCAGATTAGGCACTGCAGAGGGGCCAGCATCTGATTGCCATCACGCAGCGCCCAAAATGGGCCATGCCCTGAGAAGGCGACCTTCAACCCCATCGCCCTGAAGGAGTCAGGGAGGCAGGTATCCTCGTAGCGACCATTGCCTCCGATATAAGACAGCATGCATACTTGAAGCCAACCAAGCTTACATTCGACGCACACATGTAGATACTTTCCCTACCCGAGAAGAGCTGGCCTCGGTCATTCTTGTTGCAGGCCCTGCTTGGCTTGCGCCGAGGTTGCCCTGCCAGGACTCTTGAATGACTTCACTCCAGCAGCTTTTGGGGAAATAACTGCATCCCCGCCTCCAAGGTAGACGTTGAACCCGCGATACCAAGCTCTCCTGGGGATTCTGGTCCAGTTTGGGCCGTCCTGAGTCGAGCCGGTTGAACACAA